CTATTTTTATTTTTAATTCGCCATTACTTGTAATTAAGTATTTGAAGATATTTAAGAATCATTAATTAAATTTAAAAGGTTACATTATGTCACTGTAAATAGGATAAGATAGATATGTATGTAAATAAAATATAAACTTACCTGTAAACTCGGGTGACATCCTAACTCCAGTAATGTTCGCACTACACCAGCATGTCCTTTATTCACTGCGATATGGAGGGCGGTTTGGCGTATCTTATTTCTCGCGTTTAAGTCAGCTCCAGCACCAGCCAGCAACGCCATTACACCCGGTTCATCTCCAAAAGCAGCATGATGTACAGCTCTATCGCCATCTTTATCCTACGTGCATAAAATTAGAAATTCTATTAAGATACACTTTTAAATAAATATATTTCACTATATATTATGATTAACTTTTTGATATACGAATATATGCAACCAAGTATTCCTGTACTTATACCATTTCCGTGTTAACATATTCAAGGATAAAAATTATTTGCATCTTATACTAATCTTAATTGAATAGGTATTGTAGTAATATAATCAGGTTAAGTTAAATAGAAAAATGTAAAATACACTCGCCCCTCAATTTACGCGGCACTTTTTTTACGTGATAAATTAGAACACTATTACCCGGTAGTTTTTATGTACTTTTGTTTTCTGAAAAATCATTATTATTATTTATTTTGTTAACTATATGGAATAAATATGTATTTCTAAAATTTATACCAGATTTTCTTTCCAATATTTTGTTTTCTCCTGTACCGACAGATCCTATTTACACGATTTTCATTCAAGTAAAACGAATCCACATGGAACGAATTTTCGCGTAAATCGAGGTGTAATACATTTCTATCAGTAATATATGATAAATCCATAACGTAATTATGATTCAACGAATATAAAAATATTTCTATATAACATATAAACCTAACTATAAAAAATACTCACTTCAATTTCTACATCAGCTTTATAACGGAGGAGAATTTTAATGACTTCTAAATGACCATTTTGACTTGCAGCTTGTAATGCCGTATGACCAGCAAATACCCCATTTACATCAGCTTCTGGTCTCTTTAAGCATTCTTCACACTTTGCGGCGTCGCCGTTTGCAGCAGTTTTCACCAATTCTTCATTAACATCACCCGAGACGTGTGTTTCAAATAATTTTTTTAACAAAGCCGATAAACGTTCTATAAAATCAACCATATATAAGTTCTCATATATCCACAGCTTAGAGAAATAATTCTAAGAAAAAAGAATAATCTCTCATAAATATCTTTCAAAAGTTCTATACCTCCGCTGCTATTTCCTGGAACACTGCCGTCACTACTTGCTACCTTCGTGACCGCCTGAGGATTGTACGTCCAAGAAGTACTGCAAACTTCTACTTTCAAGTCTCCATCATGGTATATTTGCAGAACTCTACCAATCTTTCCCATAGTCTGTCCAAACACGTAAAAAATATTAAAATTAACTTTAAATTTCACTGTTTTCTACGCTTTGACATTGGTACATACTAACATCAACAATTCATAAGAATATGCTGGACAAATATGATTATAAATAAACAACAATAATTACATATATATTATGATTAGAGATTAATTAGAAATTAAATTATACATAATCAAGATAGATAATACCTATCCATTATATTGTTATTTTTATTAAACATTTATTATGATATGTAATTTTTATATCATATAACGATTTTAATTGTTCCTTTTCGTAAAATGTCTCAATGAAATGTTATAACTATAAGTATAAATAATGAGCACATTACACATTGCACAATAAATTTTTAACATTAGCACAGAACTAAATATAATTATCTAAAGAACACAAATATCTTTGAATAGAGTCATTTGTAATTTCCTATTGTAATTTTTAATTGTAATTTCCTATAGAACAGATAAATACAATTAAACTATCAAAGATACGTACTGGTGCCATTGCTTCAGCCCACTCTCCATGACCACGTTGAAGCAATTTGATCTTTTCTAAGTCATTGCAGATCTGTACTAAATCTCCAACAGCGAATGTTTGATTATCAGAACTTGAACTAGTAACTGGTACTGGTATTTGTACTTTAGTCAACACAGCAGGATTAAAAGTCCACCGATTTCCGCTTGGATATGATACAACAATATCGTGATCTTCATCAATACCAACAACAGTACCTGTAGTTCCAAGGCATTCAAACATTCCATCCGTCCAACCACCATGTCCATGCTGCAATGACTGTACTATTTCCAATTCTAAATCTACGTTAACCTATAAATTATATAATTAGTTAACCATTTTTTGTATTCTCATTGTATAAATGTCTATTATAACCATTTTTTCATTATAATCCTTCATTACCTGATCTCCAATTTGTAAACCATGTGGACCAGTTCGACCTGGACCTTGTTCTCCTAATAAAGGCAAATGATCTCTATATACTGTCTGACCTTTGGCATCATTGACAACTTTCAAATCCGCCTAATATATAAAAAAAACATTATGTATTTATGCTATCATTGTATATTAACTTTTGTATATTAACTATATTGTACATTATCTAATTTACAATCTAATTGTAAAATATGTATATTAACTTTTCATACTAACCATTCCTTCAAAGCCAACACGATACAAATTTTTTGCACCATTATCCCATATAACATAAGCTGCGGAACGTGGACTGGCAGCTGACCAATCTTGAACTTCGTTAACTTTGCCTCTTCTGCCATTTCCACCATCTTGATCTTCCCACTGCCAATCAACACCTCGTACAACTCTTGCACCAGGAAATATACCACGAATTGCAATCTACAATCACACATAATTTTATATTATAAATTATAGTATATTAATGCTAATCATATAACATTTAAATACAGTAATTTATACCTTTTTACTTTTACGTCTTGGCTCTAATAAAACCCTCTCACTACCAGGAGTTGCAATACGATAAAATCTATGTCTCAGATGATGTTTATCCCCATGATAACAAATAGAGCATAGATCATAATTGCCACATTCTGCACACTTCCAACGAATTCCAAAAATTGGCTGTTGCCTACATGTGTCGCACATAGTTCCATCATGTTTTACACCAGTTGGAGCTGAATCTAAAATTCTCAGATCAAAAGCACCAGAACAACGATAGTTGGCTGCTGTTCCATTGTCCCATACAACAACAACTTCTTCTGGAGACTCAAAATTTCTAACAGTTCCTACATGACCTTCTCCTCCATCCTACAAAGTAAAAAATGATATAATTATTTTTATGAAAAATTTCATTATACCACTTCCATAACGCATTAAAAAAAATTAAACAAATTAAAAAAAACAAATACTATATTACAAATAAAAAGAAATAAAAATACTAAAAATAAACTCATATCCCAATATGCAATGAAAAGTATTTATTTGTTATTAAGGTGGTACAAATAATTTTCATGGGCAAAAGCATATAAAATTTCAACAGGACCTATTGACAAACTTCAAATCTGAATAAATTTAAATTACAAGATAACCTCAAAAAACAGACATTTAACTGAGTTTCAAATTTTATATGAATATGAAATTACATTATATATTGAAAATAATAATTAAAATTATACACATAATTATTTAGAATGAATAATTAATAAATAAATCGCAACAATACAACAGAAAATAACGATTAATTAAGTTAACCTCTTTACTAACCTGTTTACCCCATTTCCATTCAGGACCACGAATAACCCGGGCACCGACACCCTCCATCATAAATCGCGTTGTACGAGTACCGGTACTCGTACCTGCTTCCATAATTCATTAACACGGAATTTTCTGCTAAAAACACAAAAAACTTAAAGATCCAATAACCCTACTACACACCAACACTGAAAAATACCGCCATCTTAAACTAATGTCAAAACATGTAATACCAACTTTATACAACTTAAAATTTTTAGTTATTATAAAAACATCAACATAACACAGAGGTGCTAACTTACCCCTCACACTAGTAACTTGAAATAGCGTTCCCCCGAGAGCAGTTCTATGTGTGTTCCTATGTGTTTTCACAAGAAAAGTAAATAGGAGAGGGTCACTTCTTGTGAGGGGAGTATCACTAGAGTGCCGGCGAACACTGATTTAGCATCCTTAACACAACATATAAATACTATATATTACATATTTTTAATTAGTTTAAATCACTTATGAACATTTATCAGAAAATATGGAAAGTAATAAGTCTATAAAGATAAAATATCTTCTGCCATTTGTATTATAAAACTATATCTATAAAAAGCGGAAAGTCTAGAGATTTTTATTCATTTTATGTATTTTCTTTGTGACAATTATTTTTTATTTTAAAAAATTTGATAATTCAGTTTATAAATTTCATTCAAATAAGAAATATTTG